CAATATGAAAATCATTTAATTCGGACGTGATCAAGATTCAAGAATCGTGTTTAAACTTTAAAGGATAATTATTATCACTTTTGAATCAAAACAAAATTCATCGCTCTCTTTTCGACTGCAATTACTCTCATCCCATGTTGTCTCAATTAATAGCAATCGCAATCCCATTTATTGAAAAGGAGGTTCGGCTAGTAGAGCCATCTATTAATGACAACATTTTTGAAATCGTGGTCACGCCTTGGATTTGCTCCTTAATGGTCACCAGTTTGAGTTCTATCAGAACCACTGAAATGAGCATTTGGCTGTAATCAGGATCCTGTGAGATTAGTTAAGGTGAACGTAAACTGGTCTGGATACCCATGTTCATAAAAAAATAAAAATAAAAATAAATAAATTTTGAAATCTATATTGTACTCTTGAACCAAACTATATATGTAAACTACTTTCTACGAAATTGAAGTTGAAAACTCGTTTGTTAAGAAAAATAAAGTAAAGACTAGAAAATTTGTTGATTTGTAAAATCAAGACATCTATAATTTTTATTTCTTTTTTCATATTTAATTCTCAAATAACCACGCCATAAGAGTCATACTAGCTTGACCTATTCGAAATTCAGTTTTGTTTTATGTAAAAGTTGAAATGTGGAATATCTTAAAACAACCTCTAAACCAGCTAATTCACATCCAAAATTTATTTATTTTTATTTGTTTATAATTTTTACTTCAAATTCGATTATTTAACCTTTTATACATTGTCTTTTTATTAAACCCCCTTTTGATTTACATAAAAATTAGATTTTTAGTAATTTTTGTTAAGAGTTGATAAATTTTGTGATTTAAATTTTGCGAGTTCCATAAATTGTGTGGTTAAATTAAAATTATTAATTAATTTTGACTTAAATTTCAATTTATTTTTCTAACAGAACCAAACTGAACCTAATTGCACTGTTTAATCTTTCAATAATGTACTAAGCGAACTTATTTTGTACAATTGGATTAATTGAATTGGTCCAACCATAGCAGACAAAAGATGAAATAGACAGGGACCATCAAACACGTGTCAGTCTATGACCCGTTGATTATTTCTGATGAATCGTACCGATTACATTAGAATAATAGAATTAGATGATATCATTATTTGATAGATACATACAACTTGTAAAGGTGTATTCATGCAAATTACTTCTTTTTCATATATCCCAAAAGGGGACAAAGTAATCATCTTTATTAAATTAAAAAGCTGAGAAATAAATTTATTTGATTATACTCTTTCGTCCACATTCGATTATGTTTGTAATGCTGACCAATTCTATAGTCGAGTCGATCAAGAATTCTTATAAAAATTAAAGTTAATTTTAAAACGTGTAGATTCATTTAATCCCTCACAATTTCTTTTTTATTAGTTACGCTCGGTCTCAAAAAGTTCAAACTAATGAATTGATATATCTAAAATTTTTAATAATTAGTCAGATTTATAATAATAATAATAATAATAATAATAATAATAATAATAATAATAAAAGGTTGAAACAAAGTAATCAGATTTCACAAAGCTGTGCAAGTATGTTAAGACTAAAAACTCTAAACTGCTTAAACACTTGAATTACTCCTTTAATCAAGGATGATGTTTGAAGATAGAACTCCGTGTTAACTCGTGAGTGATTAACTCCGTAACTCTTTAACTTTAAGAACAAAAATGAATAATCCAGTAGACCGGTACCATGTTAATTGACAATTAATATTTTTAATCAGTGTAGGGATATGTAGACATCATTTAAGAGGGGTCGATGGACAGATAATAAGTAAATCTAGACAAGGAGAAGTGGCCAAAATATGGTACAAATGGCATATTCTTCAACGATGCTCTGTAAGATCTAAAAATGATAATACAAAATATATTTTTTTATCCAAAGGTTAATTTGCTAATATAAATTACAATTTGTGTATTAAAAAAAAAATTCAAGAAAAGGAATCTTTGTATTCAAAATCAATATGAAAATCATTTAATTCGGACGTGATCAAGATTCAAGAATCGTGTTTAAACTTTAAAGGATAATTATTATCACTTTTGAATCAAAACAAAATTCATCGCTCTCTTTTCGACTGCAATTACTCTCATCCCATGTTGTCTCAATTAATAGCAATCGCAATCCCATTTATTGAAAAGGAGGTTCGGCTAGTAGAGCCATCTATTAATGACAACATTTTTGAAATCGTGGTCACGCCTTGGATTTGCTCCTTAATGGTCACCAGTTTGAGTTCTATCAGAACCACTGAAATGAGCATTTGGCTGTAATCAGGATCCTGTGAGATTAGTTAAGGTGAACGTAAACTGGTCTGGATACCCATGTTCATAAAAAAATAAAAATAAAAATAAATAAATTTTGAAATCTATATTGTACTCTTGAACCAAACTATATATGTAAACTACTTTCTACGAAATTGAAGTTGAAAACTCGTTTGTTAAGAAAAATAAAGTAAAGACTAGAAAATTTGTTGATTTGTAAAATCAAGACATCTATAATTTTTATTTCTTTTTTCATATTTAATTCTCAAATAACCACGCCATAAGAGTCATACTAGCTTGACCTATTCGAAATTCAGTTTTGTTTTATGTAAAAGTTGAAATGTGGAATATCTTAAAACAACCTCTAAACCAGCTAATTCACATCCAAAATTTATTTATTTTTATTTGTTTATAATTTTTACTTCAAATTCGATTATTTAACCTTTTATACATTGTCTTTTTCGAGTCATTGTCTAAATTGATTTTCTAAAAGGCAAATTGTTGAAACAACATTAAAAATTGAAACTATAGTCCCAATAAATAAGTATGGATATGATCACATGTGTCCCAGGTACATTAACTATAGTCCCAACAAATAAGTATGGATATGATCACATGTGTCTCAGGTACATTAACTTGTCCGAGTCATGTTATTTGTATAAAATTGATTGACAAAGTTGATTTACAAAATATCTACACTAATAATTTCAAAAACACTTTTTTAAATAATTTGAAATCAAAGGTCAAGATTCTGTTAACACTTATTTTGTCAACTATTTTTGTCAACTTATTTTGTACAATTGGATTAATTGAACTGGTCCAACCATAACAGACAAAAGATGAAATAGACAGGGACCATCAAACACGTGTCAGTCTATGACCCGTTGATTATTTCTGATGAATCGTACCGATTAAGGACCACTGCAAACACTCGTTCAGATCCAACCGTAGAGTAAAAGGCTAAGAAAAAAAAATTCTCACGTGTTCTGGCGGGGACCACGAACTGGTGGCATTTTGGTAGTTTCGCTCTGACCTGGAGGTCAATATCCAAGGAGAAATGCTTGATTTGATGAAAATTCTTTGCCGGGCTTACTGGAGCCAAGCCTGCTGCCTGCTCCGTAGCTGCCCAACCAATAAGATGGCGACAGGATTTAACGGCGTTAGTGAGTTTCATCATTTTGTTATGTTCACAAGAAATAAGATATTATTATTTCGATATTTCTCAACTTCATATTCAGCAAAATTAGATTGGTAAAATTAACAAAAATAAAAATAAAAATTTCATCAATTGAAAAATTAAAATGAAAAATTAAAGGTTAGTTTTTGTAATAATTTGCTATGAATATTAAGATATGTTTCGTACGTCAAATTAAATTAAATATAAAAAAACTAAACTAAAAAATAACAATTTAATCATACTTATCGGCTGTCCTATTTAGCCCCTGTTTGATTCCCATTATCTGAAAATGAAAATGAGGGGAATAATATTTTTTAGAAAAATGAGTGGATGAAAAAGAAAGAAAAATTTTCGATTTACGTGTAATATTATTTTATGGAAGATTATGTGATTGAAAATAGAAGAAAGAAAAATGGAATGTAATGTAATTTAATTTAATGAGGATCAAGCAGGGGTTAATCTTAGCTACTTCAATGTAAACATTTTAGCATAAATTCATTATCAAGTCGTCTCTGCATCATTATTAGCTATAACCTATTTAACACTTAATACGAATGAGATCTAATAAAAACTCAAAACATGCAAGTCTAAATGTAAAAGGATATGGGATGTTGAGCATTTTTAGAATCTAGCTCATATTAGAGGTTTCTAAGTCTCTGTTTGGTTTATGTAAAAATTAATTTTTTAATAAATCTTGATAAAAATTAATAAAATATATAATTGAAAAATTGAAAATGACTGTAATTTTCATGAAATGTGTGATTAAAAATAAATTTGAAAAAACCTAATTTTGAAAAATGGGACCAAATATAAGCTAAGCTAAATTGAAATAAGAACAAATATTAGTTGGGGATGACACTGAAATGGCCCCATTAGAGAGGAAGCATCAGCATAATTTCCCATGAAACATACTATATGTACATTAAAGTTTACATAAGATAGTGAAAAAAAATAAAAAAGATAGTACATAATCTCCAAATGTAGTACATATATAATCTCCAAATGGCACTATATTATTTGATAGTTTTAAATGCAATTAATTTTTTTATCCAATCTTTTTCCTTCATATCATTTTCGATAATCGTTAATGTATTATTTTTATATACAAAAAGCAAAATCCATTTTAAATAGTTACAATTGTCAAAAATATTGTTGAAAGGTCTCTACGTGAACCGTTATAACGGAACGGTCAAAATTAAAGGGGGCGTTTGTTTTTAATTTTTGTAAAAATGAGAATGAAAAATATAGTTATTATGAATCCCACACAAAAAATAAAAATTCAAATTTGATAACTTGATATAATATGTAACAACCATATTTTTCATTTTAGTTGGGAAAACAAATAGGGCTAAGATTGACCCCACATTCCGTCAAGAAAAATGTCGTCATCACAGCCGTCCATCCACCCTAACCATAGTTAGGTTAGCGTTTACTGACCCCCACGCTCCACAACATACTGTAGTGCAAAAGGGGACAACCTAAACACGTTCAATGAAAGCAATATATACATATACACACACACACACACACACACACACATATATGTAGATAGAGACAGAGCAATGAATCAAGGCTTATTCTAAGCTGTTTCTTGGGATTCTGAACGGCATTTTTTCTCACGTCCTCCCTCTTTGCACATTTGGTTAAAGAAAAGAGAAGCAGGTTTTCCGGCGTCACTGTAATCTCGCAGCTTTCAGTTGTTTCTTTCAATGTATAAATTGGGCTTTATTTTCACATGTAGTAATTAGTGCTGTTAATACTGTGTAATGAGGTGAATTCAGTTTATGTGTATTATATTGTGATATTATGTTAATATGAGTTTTGATTGAGGATTTAAAGATCAGTTTATTTATCGAAACAAGATTCGCTTTAATCATGACAAGGTCATCTTATCAGCAGAAAAAATGTTCTCCATCTCAAGGTTAGAAATTTAAAATTAGACTGATCATTATTTTTCTTTTATGTTCGTCCACAAGTGTTTTTGTTCTTGTTTGGGAAACTATATTTTTTTTTTCTTTCGAATTTTCAGGGTTTGGTGTTGAGAATGTTTTGTATCCAGAGCTATGGAAGGCTTGTGCAGGTCCATTGGTGGATGTTCCAAAAATGAACGAAAGAGTTTACTATTTTCCACAAGGTCACATGGAACAAGTTAGTAATATTTTATTTTTAGCACATCTATATTGTCTTTTCTGGGTGCTTGAAAGTTCAGATCTTTTTATGATTTAATCTTGAAATTAAGATAATCTTGAATTTCCTTATGTGGGATTTTTATGGACTTTCATTTGGAGTTGAAACTTGTGCTATTTTTGGGGTTTGTTTAGTTGGAAGCATCAATAAATCAGGAGTTAAATCAGAGAATACCGGTGGTCAATCTTCCCTCAAAGATCCTTTGTAGTGTTATGAACATTCAGCTACTGGTATGGTCCTATCTACCCTACTCTTCATTATTCTTTTGTTATTTTTGAAATCTACTGGAGAATTTTTACCAGAGACTATTTTTAGTGCTCTAGGTGAAAGAGATCCGGGGTATAAAATGTTTAAACAGTTTTCTTTTGGTTTTGGGGTGAGAAATAAGAAGGCAGCACGAGCCAGAAAATAGTGGGTTTGGGGGGGGGGGGGGGGGGGGGGGAGTTGATATATTTCTTTGGGCTTTCACACTGAAATTTGAAACGTATCATGCAAATCATCGGTCCTGTATTACATGTAGCCTTTCAACCGGATAAGACAATAAACTTTCACCTTCTATCCCCAACTTGTCTTTCTCTGACGACAACGTTGGTTTAACTTAGTTTAGTTTATGTTTGCTTGCTGTAAAAACTGCAGAAAATTTTGTTTGGTTTTATGTTTATCGTCTCAGGCTCATTATTCTACATCACAGACAACCCTGTAAATAACAATTCTCTATCTCTTTATTGGCAAGCAAAAGTATTGCAGTGGTAAATTACATTGTAAAATAGTCAACAAATCATGATATTGGTGTCTTTTGTAGGCTGAACAAGAAACTGATGAGGTTTATGCACAAATTACTCTGATGCCCGAAGTAGAAGTAAGCAATAAGTCTTGCTTCTTTTTTATTGGAAAAATTGTTGTATTTGCTGCTTGCTTTCATAATTTTTAGGGATCAAGTGTGCAAGTTTTTACTAGAATAGTTGATGAAAGTTTGAGTACCACTGGGTGAAACTATTTGTAGCAAACCGAGCCAAAAAGTCTAGATCCATGTCCTCCAGAGCCTCCTAGGCCTACGGTTCACTCGTTCTGCAAGGTTTTGACAGCTTCCGATACAAGTACTCATGGTGGATTTTCCGTCCTCCGTAAGCATGCGAATGAATGCCTTCCTCCTTTGGTAATAATTCCTCTTTTAAGGTGTTCATTACTTCTGTATTTGTTTTTTAATTTCTTTTCCATATAATTCTGGTTGGTATAGAATATCATAACTGATCTTTAGTTTGTTCTGACTATGTATGTTCTTTGATCAGGATATGACCCTGCAGACTCCGAGCCAGGAACTTGTGGCCAAGGATTTGCATGGGATGGAATGGCACTTTAAGCATATATATAGAGGTAGTCTTTATTTCTACCTTCCTAATGAGCTCCTTTTGATTTAGCTGAGACTAACTTGTATGGGATTGTTTGGCTAAGCTTAAATAAGTAAATTTAGTTTTATGTTTCCAAGATGGTTGGGTAAGTTAATTTTTTCTGCTTTCAAGTAAAAGAAGTTACTTATATTGAAAGTAACATTAACCTTATTGCCTACATAATTAACTTATTTACTTGTAAGTAACAATTTAAGCTTAGCCAATCATCCTCATCTCATTACTAGCATATTACTTGACCATGAATACCATTGTCCCAATACTGATCTAATAAATAGGCATCTATTGAGTTGAGTACGTTGATATCAAATTCTCAATTTCATGGAGGGAAATTCATGTACATATCTTCCAATATTCGAACAGGCAAACCAAGTAGGCACTTGCTTACAACTGGATGGAGTACATTTGTCACTTCTAAGAGATTAGTTGCTGGAGACTCTTTTGTATTTTTGAGGTACTAATTCAAATTTACACACTCCAGCAATCAATTATAGGGGAGTGAATGGGGAGTTATGTGTTGTTATTGTCTTTCTTACGACATGTTGGTTTTCCTCTTTCTTATGTATTGTTATTGTCTTATCAATTATAGGGGAGTGAATGGGGAGTTATGCGTCGGAGTTAGACATCATGTTTGTCAACAGAGCTCCATGCCATCCTCTGTGATTTCAAGTCAGAGCATGCATCTCGGAGTGCTTGCAACTGCATCTCACTCTGTTGCAACGAAGACCCTCTTTGTTGTTTATTACAAACCAAGGTTCGAATTCTGCGCTCTTTTGAAAACTGAGAATGATGTCTGTATATGAGAATTCTTTTTAATATAATGAGCGTATCAATTTAAACATGTCATCTGTGGTAAAACTTTCAGAACAAGTCAATTCATCATAGGCTTGAACAAATATCTCGAAGCTCTAAACCATGGTTTCAGAGTTGGCATGAGATTCAAGATGCATTTTGAGGTCGAGGATTCTCCAGAGAAAAGGTTGCTATTTGCTGCATATTCTCAAGTTGATCTCTCTGTAATCGGCATCAAATTTCGCCATTTGATCCTTTTCTTTTTCCCGAGTAATCAGGTTCTCAGGTACAATAACAGGAGTTGAAGATATTTCTCCTCATTGGAAAGATTCGAAATGGCGATCACTGATGGTTAGTGTTTATGGCGGCATCATTTAGATAAAATTAGCACAGGGAAATACTGAACTTTTATGCTGTTCTCGTGTTTTCAGGTTCAGTGGGACGAACCTGCATCCATTCCAAGACCTGAAAGGGTTTCTCCATGGGAGATAGAACCATTTGTGGCATCAGTTCCCACGAGCCTGGTTCAGCCACTGGCAGCGAAAAATAAAAGGCCACGATCGCATATTGAAGTCAGAGTTCCTGGTTCGATCACCTTGCACATCCTTTTTTCACAACTTTATAGTGTTTCTAAGCATTATGGCTTCAGTAATTTTGTTGCTATTTCCTATGTGGTAGAAAATCCAAGTGCTGCATCTGCTGTCTGGAATCCATCCCACGACTCACATAAAGTAATGGGCGTTCTTGAAGAAAAAAGGAGTGAACAAATAGACGCAAGTGCCACTCTCATCAAAAACAGAACTGACGACACATTTGGAACTAATGTAGAGGGAGACTGGCTATCTTTTCCTCGTATAAATTCTTGTCTGAATAAGTTTTCTGAAGAAACAGAAGAGAGCAGAAGTGACTCAGCTTGGTCTATTTTGTCAAACCATTCCACCCCAAATTCCAGAAAACAGAGCAATACTCTCATATCTTGCTTAAATGATGGGAGGAAATTACATACTTCTGCTACTTGCAGATTATTTGGTATTGATTTGAAAAGCCCTTCAATGCTCGAGAAATGTTTTTTGAAATCAGTTGATATACCGAGTGATGTTTCTGAAGGATGCATCCCGAATCAACTGCTGCGGTTACAAGCACCAATAAAGGAGGTTCGTAGCAGACAGAATCACTCCACTAGAAGTTGTACTAAGGTATAATTTCACATTTTCTACTTTTGACAGTGAACGTTAAATGAATAAAAATAAATATGTGTTCATTTGGTATGGAAATACTTTGAGAAGGTTCAAATGCAAGGAGTTGCTGTGGGTCGTGCTGTGGACTTAACTGTGTTAAAGGGGTTCGATGAGCTTTTAAGTGAACTCGAAGAGATGTTCGAAATAAAAGGAGAGCTTTGGCATCGACATAAATGGGAAATTGTTTTTACTGATGACGAAGGAGATATGATGCTCATGCGCGACTATCCATGGCTGTATGTATTGTTTGTATTTTTCATCTAGAAATATTATTCAACTTCGACGGTTGACGAACCTTCTCTATATGAGCATATGTTTGATATACTATCATTTTCTTGCAGAGAATTCTGTGACAAGGTGCAGAGGATTTTCATCTATTCTACCCAAGAAGTGAAGAAAATGAGAGCTAGAAGTAATCTTCATTTATCTTCAACAGACAACGAAAGAGGAGGCTTTAACTTGGAAGTTGGTGGAGATTAAAATTACCTTCACATATTCTTCTTCATTCCTGCTGCCTTTAATTTGTTTCTTCTATAGTAATAGGGTCCTTTTGTGCCGTGGTAGAGGTACTTTGAGAAACTATCTTGTTTGTTTCTCGCATTTTGCTGACACTGGGTCATCAAGAAGCAGTTTGCGACTTGAAATTTTACTAGTAATACTAGACTCTACAACGGTTACTAATCGAGGGGTGGGTTAAGGATTAGAATCTGTGTATAACAGAGGTGTCTCTGGTGAATTTGGATGGATTTCTTTCTTGTCCTGTATATCTGAATATAAATTCTTGACATCTGGTTTAAAAATTGCCAGCTTCTTTTGTATTTTGTACTTCACTAATTCAAGGCGTTTCCTTTCTTTCTATCATAAACTTGACCATCTATATACTGTTAGATACAAAAATTACTGATTTCTGCAAAACGAAAATCTCGTATTTCACATTGGGTTTTTACCCGCATATCATAGTATATATTGCATCGTTTATCTACACACAAGTGCGCATGTATGTTTCTACAGTATGAATCAGTTAAATAATCAGTAACTCGCCTATTTACAGCCTCCCTAACTATTTATGATACACTGAAATTGCTAGCTCTATCAGCGAAAAGCTTCATTCTTCTTCATTAAGTCAATAAAGTAGTCTAATTCTTTACTCTGTGCTTGCATTTGCTTCATGTATGGAAGACTCCCGGGATCTTTTTCATCCAGTACTAGATTAGTGGGAGTTTGTGGAGGATAATTGTCGAGGATAAACTCAATATCATCCCCTGTGATTTCTTCCCGATTGAGAAGAACCTGCAAGCCAAACAAGAGGAATATTAGTGTCCCTGGCAGTCGTGGATATCTGGGCTAGTAACTGAACACGACTGTATAGTATGATAAAATACAATTAAGCTTAAATCGAGTACTAGTAACTTGATGGATGCAAACATGTTTACATTGAGGATAGTTGTCATTTTTTAACAACTTAAGCTTTTAGATAAAATAGTAGAGAAAGTATAAAGATTCGTGTATTTGAGCAAACCTGAATAGTTTTACACAAAGCAGCACTGTGCATTCTCAGCATAGCAACTGTCTTTCCATACTTATCGAGAGTCAACTTTTCTGTCTTCCGGTGAGTTTCGTTGTCCAAATTGAAGTTTAACGGAGGCGCACTCAAATTACTGTAATCATAAAGAGATCTTTCAAAGTCGTACAAAGTAACAATCTCATGAGCAAGCCGAGATGCATCCGCATGGTACTCAACTGATGCATTTGAAATATTACGGCCAAAAATGACCTCTTCAGCAGCCCTGCCTCCAAGTTTTATCTTCAGAAATGTACAAAAACACAATTATAAATGGAGGAGAATGAAGACGAGTAAAAGGAAATCAAAGTTCACACCTGAAGACGGTGTAACATTTGAGGCCGGCTCTCAAAGATGTACAAGTCTTCATCAAGACTATGAAATAAAACTCGAGACTTCGTCTGCATGTAAAATTTTCCGTCAAGAAGGGAGAGAGCGATATTACTTGGGAAAATAGCAGCATTTATCCCTAACCTATGACCTGATTAGCAAGTTGTTCTTCAATAGTTGCACAATTAGTCTCCACAAAAACCGTCCAAATCTCATTAAATCATCATGTGGTCCTCATGAACAATGGTTAGTTTCAAATAGGGCACAAGCCCACGTTTGGAAACAAAATCTAGTTTCATAACGACAGTCAGTGACACTTGATGATGTAATGGAAATTTGGATGGTTGTCGTCCTTGAAAATGAAAGATTGACGACCAACTTGCCACTAAGGCAATAGGTTGGAAACAAAACAATGGTTACAATATTCCTAACAAGAATAAAATGGAAAAGAAATTAATTTAAAGACAATGATTAAATCAAGAAATGGTAAAGTCGGAAAACCTTTCCACGAGGAATAATAGACGCACGATCACAACATTCAACTTTAGCATTCTCTAAACGCCTAAGCAGATGCGCCGTCAAAGCAACCCCCACTTCTACAGCAGCTCGGCGAGTTTGACCTTGTTCACTCAAAATCATTCCAACACGCTTTGGCCCAATTCTAAGACGGTCAACTGCTTCGTCCATATCTTCCGTCAAAATTGTGTTGTGCTTTTCCTCCTCCTCAAAATACCTTTTCCTCCCCGCAATAAGAGCAGCCTCTTTAAGTAGTTGTGCCAGCTTTGCACCCGACCATCCTGATGCAGACCTCATTTAACAATTCAGAAAGTTACAGCTTGAGAATATAAACTTTCACTGTATTAACATTTAAAATGAAAACATGTACCTTGCAAATTATTGGCATAACTAGACAGATCAACAGTATCTGATAATTTCACTTTACGGGCGTGTACTTTTAGGATTTCCAGTCTTCCCTTTGCATTTGGAGGTTTAACTTTTATCTAATTGATAAACAAAAACAATGATTGGACAATTCATGTTTAAGAGAACAGATGCATAAATAAGGTATATACCTTACGATCAAACCGACCGGGACGAAGAAGTGCAGGATCCAACAAATCCATCCTGTTGGTGGCACCCAAAAATATAACACCTTTGCTCGTATCAAATCCATCTAGTTCCACCAACAGCTGGTTCAATGTAGTCTCCCTTTCTTGAGTTTGTGCATTGTTTATGTGGTCCTTCGATTCACGGGATATTCCTTGCCGCCTATATTACAATTTCAAATCATTTGCATTCTCTGATGCAGATTCATGAAAACAGATAAAATTGAACTGGAAGCATAGTTCTCGCAATTGATTCTAAGAAAAAGCACTGGTTTGTAATAGAAAAGTCAAGGACTTGACTAGTGACTGTTTGTAAATCTGCCATTTTATTTCTCAATTTCCACTATGTCAAGCGAAGAACTTAATATGAAAATGGTCATCAAAACTATTTATGTTCCAATGTTTGTTGTGAAAATATATTAACACCACATGCTTATATCTACAGTAAATTAACTTGTTCAATAAACTCATTGAATCGCCCATACCTTGCACCCAGAGCATCAATTTCATCAATAAAAATGACCGATGGTTTATTCACCTGGAAAAAAAGAAAAAAAAAAAAGAAAAAGAAAATCGTCACAAAAACAAAGTATATCTCCTACCAACCCATATGGATCAAAAACGTCTTTTCCATCTCCTGATCTCCACGTCATTTTGTCTAGTCATAAAGATACGTTGAACTATCTCGTCTAAAAGCTTAATTTGTTAAAAAGGAACATATATATTTGTTGAGATTTATATTAAACAAAATCCCTCATGTGGATGGTAGATTCATCCTATATCAAAGGCCTGACACCTGATAGATAGGCAGTGCCGAGAATTTGACGTAGGATCTTGTTTGGTTTGATACCACATTGAACCATCTCATCTAAAAATATAAACTTTTAGCGATGGAAAAAAAATATTTATTTAAAAAAATCCGTCTGTCTTCTCAATTGGAGTCTAAAAAGATGCGAAAAAACATAGGATCGTCAATAGCTAAATAAGAACAAAGGGTTACCTTGGCTCTCATGAATAAATCCCTGATACGAGCAGCACCAGCACCAACCAAAATTTCAACAAATTCGGGTCCAGCCATTTGGTAAAATGGAACTCCAGCTTCACCTGCTATGGCTTTAGCAACCAGGGTCTGGCAGGCAATGTGTAATTTTAGAGACTATTGATAAAACTTAGTGTCATCGTAGAAAAGACAACTAACCTTCCCACATCCAGGTGGTCCATCAAGAAGAACTCCATGCGGAGGCTTTATCCCCATTTTATCAAATAGTTCTGGATCCTTCAGGTACCTTACCAACTAACAAGCAGCAAAAGATTACAAAACTCGATACAGTTTTGCATGATTTTGCGGAATTTTTTTTTTAAAAACATGAAATGAAATCAATGCACTAAATTTAGAATTTACAAAACGAAAAAAAAGCGGTTAAAATTACAGCCTATTTTTAATTCTAAGTATAGAACATAATCTAAAAACTGGCCAACATGACAACGTTGATCTGCTGCAAAATCATCAAGAGTTCAGAAAATCGGTTCACTTAATTTAAACAAATCGAGAAATCAGTGATACATTTATGTGATGCAAATGCATACAAGAATATCATGAGTTTTTAAATGCTACCTCTTGGAGCTCTTCCACTGCTACCTCAATCCCTGCCACATCATTAAATGTGACTCCAGTTGAACCCTGAAGGCAAGAAATCAATTTACAGATAAGATGGCCAAAAAACAGTCCATCCGTACAAAAAAATAAAAATAAATAAATAAATAAATAAAATTCCAATAGAGCTTTTTCACTACTATATTCGATCTAGAGCTACATCCACTAAGTCCAGTCAGATCTAATAACAATTCATTTGTACATAAAGAAGAAAATATTTAATTCTGCTAAACTTAGAGCCGATTACAGGAAAACATTTTCGCTGCTCTATTCAATCTAGTGCTACGTCTATGAGAAGTCCAAGCAGATCCAATATTTTAAAACCACATCAGGTAGTGTTAATTTTAGCTTTTGTCCTTCTTATAATACGTTCTACTAAGCTCACGTCACTCTTGTGAATAGAAGTTTCTTTGAGTTTGAAAAAGACGTGTCACAACTATCTAAATCATCATTCAGTTTAACATCAGTTGCTTCCACATCCACTTGTTAATATATTATTTTATTCATTTAAGTGTGTGATGCAGGAAGCTCCTGTACGAAATTCACAAATAGCAGTTTATGAAAATTGAAAAGAAATTGAGAGAGAGAGAGAGAGACTAGAAATCAGAAAAAGTAGTAGTTTGTATTCAATAATCAAAGTTTGTTTAAAACAATGAGTTAAAACAATCCTAACTACGTAGGAAATTAATAAAAAATCTAATCTAAATAGGAAACTAAGAAAATAATCCTAATTTAACAAAAACTAGATTAAAGAAGTCCAATTCAATCAATTTCTTTTTAGCCTTGAATACACTTATAATACAGCATCATTTCTTCCCAGTTGAAAAGAACTCGACTTCGCAAGTTATGGTCCAGATAGGCATCCAAATTGACATAGAATTCACAAATAGCGATTTATGAAAATTAAGAAGAATTTGAGAGAGAGAGAGAGATCACAGAGAGTAGTTTGTATTTAAAAACCTAAGTGCGTTTTAAACAAAGAGTTAACCCTCATTTATATGGTTTAAACAATCCAAAATTATGTAAAAAATTAATAAAAAATTAAAACTTAATAAACTAACTGAGAAAATAATCCTGATCTAAGTATCTAACACAAAGTAGAATTTAAGAAGTACTTATTTAATTTCTTTTTAGTGTCGAATACAATTTTAGTGTCCATTTTAACATTCTCATTTCTACTAAGTTTCTTTTAAAAGCCCAAAACTAAAAATCATCCAATTTTGATGTAATGACTATTTCGAAAAACTTACATTTTAGGTTCCTAGATATCTTTGAAACACGTAGAGTCCTGTAGCACTATTTCATCCAATTTGCTTTGGTTTGATGCATATATCAACTTGATGTCCACTTTTTTTACTTATTATCGAACCAAAATACCTAAAACTATCACTTTCCTAATCAACATGATCCTCTTTTGCCAATTCATTATCATGTTGATTCGACGATTTACGACTAAAAACACATTCTATGTATAATGTCTTATTTCTATAGTTCTATTTTGCCCAAAACTTCATGTTCCAAGTGCTTGTCCAGGAGAAATTATAATAGGATTATAATGAATATGAGTAGCGAGTCCTACTAAATGTGTGGATAATAAGTGAATAGTAGTGGTGAATATGCTATAAAAAGATAACACCCAAACATGCTCCATGTAGTTACTACT